ATATAGTGAATAAAAATAGTATTTTATATTGTGTCATTATATACTGTATATCATTATATATAATTGTTTTAATATTTTAATATTTAATTATAATTTAAAATAATTTAATATATTTTTAAAAAAATATTATATAACTGGTTATATATAAAGTCGGTTATATGATCGACTTTAATTGTAACTGGTTTTGAAAAAATAATTTGGTTTTCAATGTTGATTTTATAATATTACGGTTTTCTTGTATATTTATTTTTAAAAAAATGGTTATGAAAGGAAAAGAGGTTAATTTTACTTGTATATCACGCTTTCTTCATAAAGCTTGTAATTTTATGGTTTTTAAAAGCCTGTGATTCTTATTAAGTTTTTTTTTTCATTCATAATATTGTCATGTATGTGGTCAATAATTATCATTATATCTAATCTTTCTTTGTATAGATATTTTATTTTAATTTACATAAATAATTAATTATTAACAAGAATAATTAAGATGGAGAAATATTGAAAACTCCATTATATATTGTATTATATATTGTTTACTTACTTATATATAAAGGAGAGGTATTGGAAAAATTTTCATTTTTGAATGAATTCAAAGTATCTTTCCCATAAAAAAAAACAAATAACTAATCAACAGTGGAAAGAAACACAAAAAAGGACACACACGTGAGAGAAAACACAATAAAATAAGAATCCTTCAAATATAATTATAGTTTTTAAATAACCAGTTACATTTCCAAATCAATTTATATAATCAGTTATAGCAAAAACAGGTTTCAAAATATTATAAAAAAAAAAAATTATATCTAATACACCTTTAAATTTTATTTTTACACTTTAACATTCTTCTTTAAATTTTTTTATGCTTAAAAAGATAGATAGGAGATGACACTCCTATGATCGAATACTAGACAAGAAGCTAATAGCATGTTGGAGAACTTTAGACTAAATATTACTGTCTATTTAGTAGTTAGTTAAAGAACAATATTCTTCTTATATAAACTAGCATATAGAGGCGCATACCTTCATATATTTTGAGTTTGAATTGAATTAATGAAATAAAATATTAAATAATTTTTAAATTTTTTACAAACTTGCAGACTTGACCTTTACATTAAGAACTTTAAATTCAACTTTGATCGTTAAAATTTGATATAAAATATAAGTTATTAAACATAATAAATTTATGTAGACCTAGTCATAAACTAAAGATATTCCTTATATATATATATGAGGAGGGTTCAAATGACACTGGTGT